ACTCAGAGACTTGCCTGCCTCTGCTTCCCTGGTGTGATAAAAGGCATGCGCCATCACCACCCAGCCCTGCAGTCTATTTTCAAACATATGTTCACATATACACGGGCACATCTATCCTCAGCCGTCCCTTCCGTCTGTCCTCCCTCAGGCATGGCAGCAGGGACAGACACACAGCCTGTGTGTGGTGTACAATGCCACCCTCAGGTTTGTCTCATTTCCACTGAAAGGGTCACAGCCTGGTTTTTGTCGAGAGGGGTGGCTTTTCTCCTAATTTGGTTGCTGTTAACACCTTGGAGCTTCTCAAAAGCTGTTTTTAAAGGAGCCGTAGGAAGGATGCCATCAATACTCACTGTTTTCCCATTCTGGATGCTCTCTGTAAGACTCAGGTGAGATCCTGGAGCGGTGCTTTTCAGGAGTGGTACAACAGTGTTTGTTGCTGATGACAGAATGTTCTGTATTGAAAAGACATAAAGAATGAAATTCAAAACCGGTGTCTGTTCCATGTTAATGAAAGCCCATGTCTTTACTTGGTGCTTAGTAAAATAATGATTTCTTTTTTTTAATATTGTGTGTGTGTGTATATGATGTTTGCATGCATGTATTTCTGAGTGAGGCCGATGCCCATGCCACATTGTATATGTGTGTGTGTGTGTGTGTGTGTGTGTGTGTGTGTGTGTGTTTACACATATATATTTCTGAGTGAGGCCATGCCCATGCCACATTGTATGTGTGTGTGTGTGTATATGTTTACACATATGTATTTCTGTGTAATGCCCATGCACATGCCACATTGTGTGTGTGTGTGTGTGTGTGTGTGTGTGTGTTTACACATATGTATTTCTGAGTGAGGCTATGCCCATGCCACATTGTGTGTGTGTGTGTGTGTGTGTGTGTGTATGTTTACACATATGTATTTCTGTGTAATGCCCATGCACATGCCACATTGTGTGTGTGTGTGTCTGTGTGTGTGTGTGTGTGTGTGTGTGTGATGCTTACACATATGTATTTCTGTGTGAAGCCATGCCCATGCCACATGTCTCTTGTCTGCTGCTGCACTGTGTTCTAGTTGCACTGCTCTAGTGGGCCTGTGAGCCGCTGGCATGTTCTCCTTCTCCACCTCCAGTCTCCCTGAAGGAGTCTTGGGATTACAGACACCACCGCATCTGGCTTGTACGTGGGTTCCAGGGAGCCAGACTCAAAGCAACAGGTTTTGTGGCAAGCCTTTACCCACTGAGCCATTTTACAGCCCAGAAAGTCACGATTTCTTCCCAGTGACATAAGCTGCAGAACTAATTCTCTACAGAGCAGTGATGGTGCTCTAGCAAGGTCCTGGGCATCCTGGCCGCTGCAAGTCCCGGTGGTTCTTTTTGCCTCTCTGTCCCTCTGAAATCCTGACACCTGTCTCTCTCACTCCCAACGCAAGCACTTGTGCCTGTTCTGGAGGTGTGTTAGGATTCTTGAGTTTCTGGTTATTTGGTAATAACTGAGGGTCACCATCTCTCAGAAAATATGTTTAGGGAACCCAGTGGGGTTTCATAATGAAAAGGGCAAGGTCACTCTCTTCCCTTGGGCCACACACTGGAAACTAATGGCTTTTCCTTCTGGATACCCTTAAACTTCTGACCAACCAAAGAGATATCACAACGGTTCACAGCTCTGCTAACACAGGCATCTGTCACAGCAATGGGTAAGATGTGACAAGATGGCTGCTCATCTCAGCCCTGGGAAAGCTCCCTCTGATCACCTCTGATCACACACAGTTGCTCTCTTCAGGAAAGTTCTTTTCTAAACAACTTCTCATATAGCTTCCCTTCGTTTCCTTAACGAACGAGTCTTTAAACCAGAAGAGTCTTCTTCATAGCGTAGGAGAACTTACCAAGGAGTCTAGGAGACTGCCAATGGTCTCAAAGTCCTCATCTGTCTACCTTGCCTCCAGATGTTCTGGAGACACTTTCCACTAGCCTCATGTTCTTCATCCACCAAGTCCCAGACACCAAGCATAGTCTCCAGGTCGCCTCTCTCCACCCGTCACATGGCAATGGTCCATCCTGAAGAACGCTAAAGAAGTCTAATCCATCTCTCGAGGCACATTTTGGAGCTGTTAAGCTCAACTAAAGCACAGAAAACAAATGGGCATGTCTCGAAAAGGTCTCTGTAAAGAAAGAAAGGATGTGACACAAATACCAAGTCCTGGCATCTGTCAGGTGGGGCTGTTGAAACCCACAACTGTGGCGACGATGCATGGCTGTAAGCAGGGGAAGAGAGAAGAGACCATTAATGAGTGGTTGCCAGCTCCGTAGATTTCAAATCGCATCCCTGTTAGCTTGGTGCCATCGTGTCTGGATTTCTGCCAGAATTATTGTGTCTGTGTTCCCAGATTCATTAAAATTCACCATGTGCTTGCTGATTACAAGTTTCAGGTCTTAGCACATGTAATTTGGATAGGGAGGCATCAGGGTGAAGTGCTTCCAAGTGCACAGCACTGTGAATTCTTCCTTATTTGTTCCTAGACAAGCATCTGCCACCCAAGAGGCCCTGGGCATGTCCATCTCTGCTGCAGCGACAAGCTGTTTGCTCTTTCCCTCTCCTCCAGGTTTTCACAAGTCCAGTGTAACTCAAAGGAGTTACTTGTAGGAATTTTTATTCTTACCTCCACCAGTAAGAGCGAAAGCAGATCGAGTGTTGCACGCCATCAGGGAATAGTAGGCGAGTTCATCTGTGCCACGTGATACAAGTTTACATTGTTAGTTTACCTTGGCAGAGCCCACTGGGATACACTTTCTTTCCAGTGGATGTAGGAGAGAAGCCTTGCAGAAAATTGAGATGAGAAGGTGCACACATTTGAGCAGCTTTCATAAATGAAATGTGCTTGGAAGGCACCTAGAGCCCAGGAGCGCATGTGGAGACTTGTTGATCACAGCTGATTAAATTCTCTTTGTTTGACCTTTAAAATCAGCCTTTAGAAGTTGCCGAGAACATGCTCATGAAGCTCCAGGGTTCTGGAGTGGAAATCATATTCCTATCTAGTATCATTATCTCAGTTACCTACATAGCCATGATGTGCTGTTCGTAATGCTAATTCAAAATGTTACTAAAATAGGTCAGACAAATGCCTATTGATTGTCTTTGATAAATTACATATGGAAGAGTATTTGACAAATAACTGATCAAGTGTCCCCATAACAGGTCAGTGCTTATGGAGAATGTTGATACTTTATTGGGAGAGATATTTAGGTCTGAATCTAGGTTTTTCCAGACAGATTGTTCTCTCTTTTGTTTTAAACAATAATTTTATTGTGAAGTTTATACAATGTATTGTGAATACAGTCACTCCCTCCCCAACTCCTCCCCTAAGTACCTTTTCTACCCTCCCCTCCCTACTTGCCCAACTTTGAGGTCCCCCCCCCATTTCTACTGCCCAACTCCTCTTTGGAGTGGGGTCCGCCCTGCACTGGGATTGACCTCCCAGGGGTCACATCATTCAAGAAAACCGAATCTCCCTCGCCCAGCAGCCATCGAGTGCCAATAGCTCCTTAGTTAGTGCTGGGGTTGCTTGCCCGTGTCCCTGCTCTCCGCTAAGATTTTGTTTACCTTGAGCTGGTGTGGGTCTCATGCGTACTTCTAGACAGGTTTCCTTGCCTTGCCCCATGATCCCGCTATGCGCTCCTTCTGTTCTTTTATTTTTATTCCTACGCATGGGGAGATTCTATGGGCAACTGAGTTGCGGTGAATAAAGTCAGAATTTCTGGAGAGTCTGGGATCTGACTTCATTTTTCATAAGAGCCTGGGATCCGCAGCAGGGTCCTGCATTCATGATTCTATAACAGACTCAACCCCCTTCTTGCTTCCATCAGGACGTCCTGATTGTATTTGAAGATAGCGTCTCCTAGGTGTTTGTCTAAAATGCACCATACATGCTGGGAGAGCCAGTTCTTACTTGCCCAGAGGAAGTGTGCCCTGAGGCTGGGTGCCACATTCACCTACGAATCATCATGTACTAAGAATTTTAAAATAGTTGTAATAAGAAGTTACTCTGTCTGGGG